AAAATTTAAAATTCAGGGAACAATAAAATTGTTACCATTAAAATAGGGTGATAATTCACACTTCTGTGCAATATTAGGCTATTTTATGATACTTGGAAGATTTTTATTGTAACAATAATAAAACTAGTAAGTAGGTCTTGAAATAAGGGGAGAAAATGAAGCTCAAACATGTACAGCAAATTTCATGCAATTCTATCGTGAAGTCATGCTGCTACTATAATTTTCTTAATTCTATTTTTAAGAACAATCATAGTGATTTGGAAAACTCTCTCTCTACTGTATAAACATAATCTGTTTTCTCCTAAGCAGAAAGAATAATAGCTGTTAAATATGCTGCCATATTTAACTATATTTTTGATAGTGGAAGTATGCCAAGGAATTAGTTTCCTGCTTTTTAGGACTGTATATATGACATTTGAGTGTATGTTGATGTTGATGCGAAACAGATTTTCCATCTTTTCTAATATTATTTGTAACAAGCATTAGAAATGTGCTTCCAGGTGATCCCAGTTAGCAGACAATAGTAGTCTTTTTTTCTTTCTATAGCTAATGACACTACAAAAATGAAATTAATGAAAGTAAATGCCCTTATGAAAAGGAAAAAAAAAATTAATTTTGCATATTATTTTCCTACCACAACTTTTGTTTGTCGAGTTCTGCACAGAATACTCTGTTTTCTCTCTCTGCATAAATAAATACATATATCTAAGAGTTCTCTACTGGAATATTGTGTTTTGTTATATGAAATAACAGAAAAAAATAACGTGCAGAAAGTAGAAAACATTCTTCGCAACTAGAAGTTATCTTCCATGTTCCCAGACTTTCTCTGTTTGTTCAAATTCATGCATCTGAGATGGTGTCTATAAAGCCAATTACAGCGGCATCAGAAAGCATGAATAGCATTGTGTTGCCCCACTCGGTGGGTTTCAGTGAAGGTGAATGTTTTTCTATCTCCTGAGTCATGCCTCCCCTAGTCAGTAGGGCTCACTACCGTGGTGTAGTCATGTAAGACTCAGAGGAATAATACACATTCTTTTATGGAGAGCTTTCTTAACAACAACTAATACTTGGAGGTAAAATTGGCGTATTTGCTAATAGCAATTAATAAGTGTTAAAGGTAATGCAATATTATGCAATGGCTACTACAAAGACTGAAAGAGTAAAAGAAGAGAAAAAATAGAAAATAGAGCAAGAGAGACAGACAGACAGTTATCCAAAACCAGCAAAGCACAGCAGTTCACCGCTCCTCAATCCAGCGATGTTAGAGGGTGCTGATCTTTGGTAGTTGTGGATTGTCCAGGGTTGTGGTGATACAACAAACATACATATTCTTACTTATAGTCCAGAGCGGTCAAGCCTGCTCTTTCAGAGCAACAGCTTCTGGATTCAGAAATCTCAGAAGGAGCTCTTTTGTTCTCATTTTCAAGGCTGTGCAGAAATCAGCAGAAAGAAGACGAAGCAGGGAAATGCTGGCTTCTATTTTGCCTTCATAGGATACAACAGTGTAATCCCCTGTATCAAGCTGGAAGCATTTGCTCCCAGGCCAAGTCTTCAGACAGAAAACACTCCAGGGCCTTTCCATTTGAAAGCAAACAGTTCAGAACAAATGCTTTTGAATGTACAACTGTCCGCACCACGTTTTGATTGTCTCGTGTTGATCTGGGATGATACATTCCTTATCAGTCCATACAAGAATAAGCACAGTAATAACATTCTACTCAGTTAATACCTTTGCTTGCTTTACTAGGCCTTTGCTTAAAAATTGTTTAGAGAGGATCATTAAGTGAAAAGTACTTCTACAAATAGAATATATGGAAGTAGGCAAGTGAATATCCGTAGAGGGTGAAGAGATAGTTACCTCTTAGAAGTCACAATACATCTTTTCTTATTCTCACAGGAGGACAGATAAGTGTGTTCAAGCTGCTGGACAAAAGGAGAATAAAGTTCTATGAAAGTACCTTCTGATTTTAGCAGAGCTTGTCTCCGGACACGGAGGAAAGAGGCGGAGACTGTAATTGTAGGTTAAATATAATGACCAATTCTATGCTGTAAGATTGAGTTAGTTATGTGTTCATCAGGTAATTACAATAGCCTCCACCAATTTGTTTGAGATAGCTCAGAAACTCTGTAGCCCAAACGCATATAAATTTTTATGCACAGAATTTTTAAAGGTAGAGTATCTTCCTCTGTGTCAAGAGTATTTTCCTTATCATCACTCATTCCTGAATACGTGATAGAATGCAAAGCATCAAATTATTAAGTAGTTAAGCGAAAGCAGGATGGTCCTTTATGAAAGGGGAAAAAGCCAACACAGCAGCAAACAAGAAGTAAACCAAAAATTACGATTCTTAATTAGTAAAGTCAGTTAAGAGAACTTCTTCATGCAAAGACAAGATCAGCTAGAAGCCACGATATGCCTTGAATTGCTCATTAGAACTAATGCAACTGATCTTATCTGCTCCTAAAAAGCTTGCAGCTATGATTCTATGGCAAAACTATTAGTTTTTATTCAAAGAATGGCACATATGCGCTTCACTGTATCCCCAGGCTTAAACATACCATGCTTTAACTACCAGTACACATGTTCTTTCATGGCAGACATATCACTTCGCTTATGTTTTACTGAATGCTTATTTTCTGATAGGCTTCTATTTCTTTGCTTTTTGGTTTAGTTTGTAGTTGGTTGTGCTGGGGGAGAAAGGTGCAGGGCTATAAGTTATTCTCACCTGCATTCAGTCTGCTTAATGCTTTGCAAATGTGAAATTACTTTCATGTTAGGGAAACCACATTTCAACTGCAAATATACTCTATCCTTCAGTGACAAAAGAATATTTCATCTCGACTAATAAAAAAAGTATTTGAAGCAGCTTCAGATGAAATATTTTTGTCTTGCTATAAATCTTCTCTGTGAATACTTAAAACTATATGTGTTCATTATAGTACTATATGTCGAAGCATCCACTTTTCTAAACAGAAATTGCCGTGTGTATGTGTGTGTGTCAACAAATACCCTCACCCATCCATCTGTAATAAATAAATCCACTTAAAACAAATGCTAACGCAATCCTTTGGTTTGCTGCGTACGCACACATTAAAGTATATACAAGACTCCAAAGATAATTTATTTATTAAAATAGATAGTTAATTGTTAGCTTAGAACCGTGGGTAATATGCTGCACCAGAGCTGTAATCAACATTGTAAACGTCTTCAATGGCTGGGGAAGATGTAAGCCTAAAGATACTTGTCACCAAAGATTGAAAATGAGTATTTCATACTAGTGACAATTTCTATAGTATCTAGAAAAATTTTTCAGACATCACTTTAACAGGTATTGCCTCTGGGGAAATTTTAGAAAAAGAGAAGAGTGGAGACACTTAGGAATTGTGATACCACAGAAATGATTATTTCCTGAAGCTGTTAATTTATCTATGTGTTGAGTTGAATGCACCCTGCGGGGACTTTAGACAATGCTTAAAAATATTATGTCTTTGATTACTCTTACAGTAGTATACAGTTGAAGTAGTTTTTGTTTATTATTATTGATGTTGAATTGCAGAACTGTTCAAAGAGCTTTCAAATAGTTACGCACTGGAATAGGCACCCCAGGGAGGTGGTAGAATCACCATCCCTGGATGTGTTTAAAAGCCATTTGGATGTGGTGCTCAGGGAGATGATTTAGCAGAGGGTTGTTAGAGTTAGGGTAGAATGGTTAGTTTGCGGTTGAACTTGATCTTGAATGTCTTTTCCAACCTGACCAATTCTGTGATTCTAAATAATAACATTGATAATATTTGCCACAGTATCTAGCAATTCATACATTCTGCAGCTGAAGTCCCTGATGCAAATATTTGTCAGAAATCAGAGCTCCTATAGCGAAATATAATTGTCTAAAAATGGAGATAGATTTTAATCAAAACTACTTGTCTTCAGCTGAAGTAATTTCAAAGGATACACATCCAGCCCGCCAAAGTGAGGTTTTTAATTTGAAAAGTATGTATTATAGCGAAAAAGAAACTTTACCCGTACATTTTAATCCAGTAGAAAATGCTACAAATATTACTCATTTGCTGCACAAATGCTTCTCAAGTACAATATAAAATATGCACTAAATACTGAAAAAATTATTTATGTGCTTTCTCCTTGAAGGCAGTATGCATGTTGAATAATAAAGAACGAAATTCAGCCCCAAAGAATAGGGGAGCATGCTTCAATAGATTTCACAGTAGTGCTTTTACTTTGCAGATTGAAATGAAGGGATGTACTGGAAAACATAGCATAGGAGAAAGAGAAAATAAGCAAAAAGAAAGAATAATACATATTTCAAAGATGATTTAAAAATATGGTTTTTTAGCTGTAAAATCAGCACACCTAATGCCACCTGTATCACCCACATTGTAACATTAGATCCTTCCATCAGCGAGTGAAGTTTTCTGGTTGAAATGACAATTTAAGGGATGAAGTAACATTTTCCTCCAGTCTGCTGCTTGGAATTTTTTATTGCATTGTTACAAGTAGTTTGCTGAGTTTAATAGTTATTCCTGACGTTAATTCAAATGTTATATTCCTTTCCATGCTGCTTCAGTACCTGGAACAGCATACATTTAAAATGATTGAAATGAATTTCAGTGTCAAAATGTCATGATTAAGCCAAGGGGAAAACATAACTAAAAGAAACGTGAGTTTCAAGTCGAATGCGAAGAGAATAGGAGAGATGCTGCATATTTATAAATGATACAGATAAACTAAGAAATACAATTAAAAATATGACTGAACTGGGAACTGGTAATACTTTCTCAGGCTTTCTGCTTAAACAAATTTACACGTATAAAAAGCTTTCTGTGCAGATAAAATGATTGTTGCGATTTCTCTTTTACTGTAAGATAGCATACTAACTTTTAGCGAATTTCTAATTAAAAGCATAAAGTTTGAAAATTATCCCAAATTTATCTGTCCATTAAATTTTTTTTTTAGATTCTCCTTCCCTATTTCGAAGGGAAATCTGTGAATGAAGAAAAGGTATGATTCTTAGTTGCTTTAAAATAGGAATTCCATTTGAACAGTATAGGAAAATGTTGGATAAACTGTTTTTCAAAGTTTATTGATCAAAATTTTAAACCATTACTTTTTTACTTGATTTATTTAAACAGGAAGTTTCTTGTAGTTTCGTACAGCGTTGATATATCGTAGAACAACTTGCATCAGTGAAACCTGTTAACAAGTTACAGACTCTGGTTTTGCTCCTCCGTTTGAAGGTTATTGGCACCACTGCTTGTCTGGAAGAACAAGGTATGTGAACACTCGGTATCTATTTCCACACAAAATTTGCTAAATTGATGCAAAACATTTTTAGCATTGGTTCAGACTAACTCAATTCGCCTTTAACTTAGCTATTAGTGGAGCATTTCAGTTCCTTTGGACAATAGGCTATGGGCAGGATGGTCAAAAAATCTCTTTGAACGTCCCAGTTTTTACCATCTGTCTCATAATATTTGGTCATCCTTTACAACGCATAGTAACATTTGTTGTAGAAATTCTAAGCAGAGTACAGATTAAGATTCTTATTCGTATAATTCTCTGCAGCATTATGTAAACTAACCTTTCTGAAATGATACTCGGCTTAATTTCAGGTGTCTTCTTTACATTAATGTATTTCTCATTTCCATATTATGTATGTACTCCTCAATCATTTAATTCTTTCTTCAAAATACTCTGTAGAACACAGTTGTGAAACTCAATTTCATTTCAGTTCTATAGTTTATTTTTAGATATACTTGCCCAATTTATTTTCAGTCTAGCAAGATACTACGATTATGATAAGTCAAAAAAACAACAATATCATTAAAAAATCTCATTATATAGAAAATCACAACATTCACATCTCCATGTGCATATGATAGTTTAAACTCAGTTTTCAAATCCTGATATACACATATTGCCTTAAAGTCAGGACAAAAGGATTTCTAACTCACGTACGTGGAGATGCATGTAAGATTTGAGCATAGGTTTCATAATTATCTGAAGTTTTTTCAGGCATATGGCAGTAAGTAGGTAAATCAATAATGGCATTCCAAATAGTGATAATAAGCAAATCATAACCTAAGACTGTAAGCTTGCAAACCTGAGCACTCGTGCATCATGTAAATTCTTCTAACTTTCTCATCTGCTTTAGACTGGTCCAAGTAGGAGCAAGCCATAGAGGTCAGAATACATTTAATATGCTTTACCAATGTATTAGATATTAATCTTCTGATAGATGTGTAAACCTCATTCTAAATAATTTAAAAATGGATACAGAGTCAGGAAAAAAATGTAGTAATTCTCTTTTTGGGAGATCAAATGAGTATGGCTCATACAGGACGCAAGTCATCTAAAGCACTTCAAGTCACCGTACTAGCTGAAGTCATATTAAGTTAAATGAAATGAAATATATTCTTTTGCGACCGGTCTGAGTGTTGCCTGTGTTGCTGCTAACTTTTGAACTTAAGACTATCGGTTAGGTATTCTGTGTGACAGTTTTAGTGTCGTTTTGGCTTATTTGTGGAAAGAAGATTTTAAAAAAATACCCCAAAACAAACCAACCAAACAAAAAAAATAAAGTGACAACATAGAAGGACCCATAAGTAGCAATGTATGTGACAGGGAATATTTTCTGTCTTTCAGAATTACACGAGAGTAGTTCCAGAATTTAAAGCATATATCAACTTGCATTGTGAGAATTTACCCAAAACTTTGATAGTGTTTTTTTTTTCCCTTCTACTTCCAAAGTAAAATATATATATTTATCTTTTTGTAGGGAGAGCAAAGGAAGGAAAAAGAAAGAGAAGGGAGTAACATAGGGACTTAAGTAGCAGTTTCACTATGGCAACTACTGCACCAAAGAAAATGTTGATTAATGTAAATCTGGAGACTAGGATGGAATAAAATAGCATAATTCTTCTTTCTGTTCCCCGCAAGGGAATTTAAAACCTTCATTTGCCATGGATAGATATGCGTTTCCTCAAGGAAAATGAGAATGATACGGGATGTTTTTATTATTTGTCCCCTATCAAAATACTGAGAAGCAGAATGCATTTGTCAGTCTTTGCCCCTTTGATGGCATGCGGGTCACTCAGTTTGCTCTCTCCTGCAAAATTTAATGGGAGCCCTGATATGTTCTTTTTCTAGGATCTACAAACTTACAGACTCTCTTTCTAAGAGATTTTATAGTACAGAGTAGACTGTGGGTGAACTTGGTTTATGGTTTCTGTTGCCTGAAAGTCCAAGGATGAATGGTTCATGCAAGACAGTAGGCTTTTATTCAAGAGCAGAATTGTAGCTGTCGAATAAGAATGTGTTTATTTGGGGTATTTTGAAGAGTTGCCTTTAAAATTACGTTATCCTTCAAACTTACTGCATACTGCCTTCTGTGTATTGGATTTATCTATAGTGATGACAGATTAAGCATAGTTTCAAATATTGATGCAAAACTTAACCTATATAATAGCAGATGTAAACGTGTTTGAGTATGTATACAGTGAACACAAATTGATGAAAAGTTCTTTAATGTTGATAAATGTAATTACAACTGACACGTTCTGATAGTCCAGTTTAGTAGGTGATTGCAGAGGCACACTCAGTCTTAAAAGTGTCTTAGTCATGGAAAAGCACATGAAATACAGCAGCATTTTAATCAGCTTTGCTGAGCTGATTAAACAGCAGTACAGCAGCTAGCAATCAGCCTTGCTAGCTGATACTAGCGCAGTGTATGGTTGGTTTTCTCTCTCCTTGCCACTGTGGATGACTTTTTTGTGATTACAGTTCTGACAACTGAACCAAGATTGCTGATAAAAGCCTAGTCCATAAAGAAAGGGGATGTTTATCTAGCTGATTTTGGATTTTCAAAGAGTCAAATAGAAATTAAAGTGTTAAACATCACTTTCCTCACAGTTTCAGTATGACAACATAAATTACAATGGTTAAAAGGTAAAAAGTGGGGCTGAGAACAAATGTCTTAGGTCACAGAAGTTTCAGTTTGGGAAGAAGTTTCACAGATGTCAGAATAGAAGTATAGCTGCAGCAGCCTGCTGGCTGCATTTCTGGCTCTATGCAATCTCTTTTTCTAAGCTGTTGTTGCACTCAAGTGTATCTGACCTATCTCTTCTCCTAACTGCAGAAAGTAATTCTCTGTAGAAAGTCACCAGCTATACTGGTACATGGAGCAGAATGAAAATGATAAAGTGTTCTCAGTGGGTGAAAATAACAAAGGGGAAAAAAATAAAAAGTGGAGAAAAAAATTAATTAAACTAATCATTTTCTTGTCCTAGACATCAATGATTAATTATGAAAAATAAAGCAAGTACTGAGCATAGACAATGTGCTTGAAAATTTAGTTTTACTGAAATTATATGATTTGGTACTCAAAGACTTGATGTGCTGTCACTGTAGACATGGAAGAAAGTGAAGGCACTGTTATAATGATGGCTAACCAGGGTTCAGAACTAAAATGAACTGTCTTCAGATTCTGTTACATCTTCTCTGGCCAGATGAGAAATCTAAATGAAAGGATACCCTGTCAAACTTTTCTGTTGTCATTAAAAAACAAAAACAAAAAAACAACCAGAAAACCAACCTTCCCTTCTAACAGTTTTGAGGAAAGCAAGCACTATTTCAAGGAATAAATTATTACTGCCTTTTTGAGTTTGTCCTGAAACAGATTGCTGTGCTATGGCATACTGAAATCCTTTTCAGATTTATATAGAGAATGTGGCAATTACTGATTATTTTTTGTTATTATTTTGTATTTTTTTAATAGCTATTTAGCACTCAGGAAAATTGGACTGTGGATATATGCTGTGTCCAAAACCTTTGGCCTGCAATGAAACGAAGAATATTCTTGCAGTCTCAAAAGGTGGATTCTGTTATTCAGGTAGGAGAACAGCAAAATATTTCTGTGCTTCCCATGGTGTGCATATCCTTGAGTTGTCCATGATCAGTTGTATTACGAGGCCATTGTCAGTCAGATCTAGGTGGTTAAGTACTGCAGTTATACTTCTGTTGCGCTATATGGATTCAAGTATCAGTACCTACCATATGTTTATCTATTTTAAGGGATAGCTGAAGCTTACTGAAAAATTATTTATTCATACCATATATAATTCCCTCAAATGGTAGCCTAATTAAACTTAATTAACTTAATTAAAAAAAAAAAAAGAAAAAAACTGTCATCAGAAAGAACTTAAGGACTGAAAATTGATTTGGGATTTTTTTTTTTAGGATCCCACTTTTTCTTTTATAAATTATTACGACGTTTAGAACATCATTAGCATCATTGAAGCTGTGTAGTGACACCACAAGGAAATAAAGTTGAGAACTTTCTCCAAGGTATTCCCAAGTTCATTTAATGCTGTTGTTTTAATGCTTCTTGCAATTTGCTGTGAAGGCTTTTATGCTCTGAAGTTTCAATCTCCAGAGGTCTATTAAATATATTTTTTTAATATGTAGGTATCTCTTCTAGATACAGAAGTTAGACAAAATTTATGTGCCATAAACTTTGTGTGACAGTAAAACCATCTAGTGAGAAGTTCTCCAGTTTATCCAGATTATGGAAATTAAGACTAAATCTCCTTTAAAAGCAGGCAATGTCTAAAACATCCCTAATATACAAGAAAATTTATTATTTAATGCTGCTGTTTTAAGACTTCTTGCATTTTTCTTTAAAGGCTTTCATCCTCCAAAATCTTAATCTCTAGAGGTCTATTTAAATTACATTGTAGATTTGCAGGTATCTGCTGTAGAAAATTTGTGAGAGAATTGCTTTTGAAATATTTCAGTGTGCTCTCTACAAACACGCTAGGAAATCAGTTAAGGAATGTAAAAAAGTAATGAAAGCCTATGTAAATTTATTACGGTTTTGAAGTTTGTGTCCATGTGTTGGAATTGATCATGTGTTACATTCTGCTTTTCCACTGTGCCTGATGGTGAGTCAAACCCAGAATTTGGTGCGGAATAACTGCTCTATTTCTATGTAGTGCAATTACAGTTTCTTAGTAAGATAATTCTTAATATGACCTGCTGCACTGAATCATAGATGTTACTGATCATTAAGACATACATAGTTTTATTTATTGCCATCTGAAGTGTTGATGAACTCACAGAATTACATGAAATACCATAGCTCTCATGGGAGAGTGAATGACAATTTGAAAACATGACCACCTGAGTTAAAAACAACCACAACAAACACCTCAAGTGAATCAGAATATTTTATTTTTTATCTATTTTCATTGTATGTTAGTACAGTGTATTCTCTCACATTGTATATTAGTTTTCATTGAAGTTAGTAGGAAGATTAAAATTATGATCACCATTATTAATTTCCCTAGCTAGTAAACAGTGTTCTAGGCAATGAAACAAAAAGGAAATCTAGAAGTCAATTTCTAAAGCAAATATACGTGAAAGATTTATGTGACGGCTAGGTGCACTTAATATATAGTAGAACAGTGTAAAAACTAAAAAAATCAAGCATATATTTACGTGCACTTTTCAAATGAATATCAAGATATATGAAATTAGTGTTTCTAGAAAGTGCACAACGTTAAAAATCTTAAAATGAAGACATAAAAACACAAGTTTCATTTTGAATTATTTGTTGTTGCTGTTGTTTTTTTCTCATCTACAGTGAGCTGTGGGGGAATAATCTGCTCTACCTGATATGATACATTTGCACCTTTCTTCGGGAGTTTGACCATTTTATACTTCAAGGGCAACGCATAACAACATCTGTGATATATGCCTATGTCTATTAGGTAATAATGCCATGCTGCCAAATCTGCATTACAATACATGACCTCAGGAACAGGTTTTCCTAGTGTTTGGATAATTCAAATAACACATATACATATAGAGAGAGATCTGATCATGGACAGATTATAAGCAGGTGACTATTTCCGAATAACTAATTCCCTTAACATTTTGGAAGGATTGCAGGGACACTTTGTTCTATTTGTTTTCAGTTCTGTCTATTTCTGTCAGCTATAAAGGGATTTATTTTTTCAAAAAAATAGTCCTAGATATTGCCATTCACAGAAGTGCAATTTAGACATATAAGCTCTGGGAAGACAAGACAGCCCAGCTAGTAAAAGGGGCAGAAGGCATGTCCTGTGAGGAAAGGCTGAGGACACTTGAGCTGTCTAGTTTGAAAAAAAAGGAGGCTAAGAGATGACTTTGCTGCTCTCTGCAACTCCCTGAGGAGGGGAAGTGGAGAAGTCACTTCTCCCTGGGAATCGATGACAGAACAGGTGGGGACTGCGCAAAGCTGCACAAGGGGAGATTCAGAACAGATATTAAGGAACCATTTTCTACCATGAGGGTGATCAAACACAGCAACAGGCTTCCGAGAGAGGTGATTGATGCCTATGCTGTCAGTGTTCAAGAGCCATTTGGACAATGCCCTCCAAAACGTGCTTTGCCTTTTAATTATGACTGAGGTGGTCAGATAGTTGGATAAGGCAGTCTTTGTAAGCATCTTCCGACTGAATTATTTAATTCTACCTCCTTTGTAAGTCTTTCTAGTAAAAGAATAGAAAGACCATGTTTAGGAAGAAGAAAAAGAAAAAGAAGAAAAAAAAAAAAAAGAAAACAATAACACAGTTTTTAAAAGGTTTTATAAGGTTTTATGCAAGTTTTTATAGGTTGAATATGGAGTATTTTCTTGGCTTGTAATAAGGTGAATAAGAACCTTCAGCAAGAAGTGGAACATGCTGCAAATTCCTGAAACAGAATTCCTTTTAAGTGCCCATCCTTAATGTTTGTTTTACATGTATACATTACATACAAACATATATAGAGGGAGATGTATATACTGTTTGGATGTGGTGCTCACGAACATGATTTAGTGGAGGGCTGTTAGAGTTAGGGTAGTATGGTTAGGTCGTGGTTGGACTTGATGATTCTATAATTCTATAGCTCCTCATCAAACAGAAATGTCAGTTCCTCAGTTTAGCTGATTAGAATGGCAGGCAGGATACCTTTCTGAAGCTCTTTAAAATCAGAAATCAGGCATATCCATGCTTAATACTAGGATCTTAATTTTCTAAGTGCTTTTCAAGCACAATTAATATACACTAATAGGAGCAACTCAGAGGTTTATAAAGGAAGCCTTCTATTGCTTTTGAACATCTTGCTAAACCTGTCATTCTTGTAATGACAGTGCTGTTCACCAGACAGTGGTGGGCATGGAACAGGCTTCCTAGGGCAGTGGTCAGAGAACCCAAGCTGCTGGAAATCAGGAAGCAGTCAGACAACGTTTTAGACAGAGGGTTTGAATTTCAGGTGTTCTGGTAGACTCAGGAGTTGAACTCCCTGATCCCTGTGGGTCTCCTACAACTCAGAGTCTTGTACAATTATATTTTTCATTTCCATACCATATTTTAAATGGTTAGAATCTTTATTAACCAAGGATAGAAGGCAGAAACAGAAGGAAAGCGGACTCTTCTAAGCACTTTTCATTGAGCGTAGTTAGAAATTACATTTTGTGTCCTTCTGCACTCTGTTTAAAAAGATAAATTTTATGGATTGTTCTGAGTAGCTAAGCAGGTTTTCATTAAATGCCTCAGCTCATAATAGTTATGATTTTTTTTTTTCCGTGTTTCACAGGTTGCTTTGATTAGAAATCATATTCCACATTGAAGGAATTTTTATTCCAGTTCTCAGGAAAGCAAGAACTAATTGATTCAAGCAAGAGGTAAGCTGATTCACAATGTTTTGGAAAAACTAAATAGTAGCCTGAAAAAGTCTCAGAATAAGGCCTTCTTGTATCACCTGAAGGCAGTATTTCAGAATGTTTGAAAAAATGCCAATGAAATTAAATAAAGTCAAGAATATTGAAGAAAATATTTTTCTATGGTAGAAAGAAAATGTGTTTGAAAGCAGATAAACTATTTGGACTGAGCTGTTCTCTCAATATGTTAATTGTTAATGTCTGTGAAGAAAATTCCATTACTTTATTACTGCCAGGTTAACTTACAATGTTACATTTTACTGTCTTCAAATTGCACAATTTTCTGCATGCTTTCATAATATTATCAAAGTTATGTTCACACATTTCATCCCAGAATTCCAATTGCAGTAATATCATTATGAAAGCTCATAGTTTGCCTCTTAGATGTTAAAAAGGACAAATTTTTGCATCTCCCTCTTCCATAACTATTTCAATTAGAAAATATTATGCAGAGTTCCCACTTGGATTTTATAATTCTAGCAGGTGTAGACTTCAGCATGGGGATCATTCACTGATGATGTACCTACAAAGGCTACATTTTCTGTCACAATTAATTATTCCCTTATTGAATCTGTCTGATCACCACATAAAAGATTTTCTCTAGAGCGGTGACCTTCTCCCTCACATTTTGCTTCTGTCTGACAGCTGGAGTTTGGCTGTAATTTTATTCAAGGTGTTGTTTGTCATCTGAGGCAAAAAATGGTCAGAAGACTTTACTGCTTAGCAGTAATGTATGTTTTCAAAGCTGGGTGCTCTTATGACATGTTTAGGGGATCACGTACACATTTATCAAGCAAACTTGCTTGTTATTGTGCATAATAGAGTTAGCAGGAAAGTGCAGTGTTTTGATAAGACACTGAAGTTGAAGCAGGAAAGGGTCAAGAAAAAAAACAAAGAAAAAAAAATATAAGTTTAAATACCCTATCTGTAATTTGTCATATAGGTGAAGTCTTGGGATCATAGTGGAAAACAGAGAAGTTCACTGCAAAGAAAACCTAGTATTTTTAAGGCTAGTGTGTTCTCCACTTTAACTTTACAAACAGGACATATATCTGCT